AGCCCAGAGCCCACAGTCTGGCAAGTGCGAGGTTTTGGAGCGTCTGAAGCGTCCAGAATCCAGAAGCTGGCTGCTCCAACGGCCAGTATGGCCCACAGTCTGGCACAGAGCCCAGAGCCCACAGTCTAGCAAGTGCGAACTTTTGGCGCTTTTGCTTTCGGGCCCAGAAAAGTAAGGACTTGGAGAGCTCAGGTTCCACACCTTCGGTGGTCCCAGGCGCCGCCCCTGCCTTCGCCAGAGCAGGGGTCGGCGGATACTTGTCTACAGAGTGTTTTCTTGTACCAAGAAAACCGTTTTATCAGAGGAGAATCGGTCGTCTTATGTGAATGGAAATCAGTTGTCCTCTTCATCCAGGCTATCCACTTTCCATAGTTTCGTGGACAGCTTCTCCAGCCTTTTTGTGCTGTGACCATGTGACACAACTGACTGTGCATGGCGTACATCAGGAACCTACGAACCCACAGCGGATGTATATGACCCCTCGGTTGTCTTTTGTTTTGAGTGAATGGCATAGACTTGCACATGGCATAGACGAGCTACAAAAGAACATGGCTTGGAGTGAGAGCCGAGAGCGGCCCGCTTTCAGAGTCCGTGGCCTCCCATGTGGTCCGATCTCGGTCGGAGCTCGGGCGTCGCGACGGTCGACTGACCCGACCGGTCGGGTGAGCCATCCCGACCCGCTCGAGGTGGGCCATGGAAATACCACTCTTCAGTGGCGAAGAACATCATTGAATCATTCAACATGTAATGGGTTCTTTCAGGCTGACTCATTCATGTTCCTGGTGTTACATCTCCGTGGCTGATGGAGTGGAGCTGTGTTCCACTCATGCGTCGCACCCTGGCCAGGCCACCAACGGCCCCGTTGGACGAGGCAATGTCTTGACGGGGTGGTTTCGATGGGGTTTCTGCTGAGATGCTGGAGAGATGCTGGAAAAAACTGTGCAGAGAGAGTCAGAGAGAGTTTCACATTGTGTTCTGTTGAGCAAGCATTGTTGGAAGAAGAGGTGGGCCAGCAGCATGCAGGGGCTTAAAGGTCTTCCAAGAAATCCAGCACGTGTTCTTCCAACGCAGATGGAACATGCAACAAGTAATAAACACTTGACATTAGGTGGAGGCCATCGCAAGTAGGTTGGAGGCCAAGTAGGTTGGAAGCCATCGCTTCTAGTAACAAGAAGCTACTATTAGCGAGTGATTTACATGTTCCATATTCTCCCTCCTCCAGGACCCAAGTACAGGTCACCAGCGCCCATCTGAGTCAAGCAGGATGGAGGTATAGACTGCTTTTTGCAACATTGGAAGAGTTTGACACGGTCTCAGGATTGAGGCAACATCTGTACTGAAACCTTATCATATGAAAAGGGTGCACATGAGGGGTGTCCTGTAGATGTTCCGATTTCACCAATCCGACACCAAAAGCACCAAGGTCACCCAACCGTTTACCATCTATGCACATGGCAACAGCTGCACCAGGTGGGCTCCAACGCGGCGGTGGACGGCGGGAGCTCTCGAGGACCGGAGACCGGGGATGCGTCGTGCCGCCCCCATGGCATGGACCTCTGAAAGAGTCTGAAAGCAACGAACCGTTGGTTTAAAGATTTTAGGGAACCTAATAGCGATGGCCTTCAAACCTAGTAGCGATGGCCTCCACCCTTTCAAAGCTTCAACCACTCACTCTATTGGTCTTCAACCGGACCTGAAACGAACCACAAAAACCGTGGGTTTGATTGGCCAAGAGATGGCAGTTGCGGCGGGCCGTGTTTGGGTTTCCAACAGGTGGGTGGATCTCAGTGGATCTCCCCGCGAGTTAAGAGGTGATTGGAGGAGACTGGAAGGTTCGTTGGGTGACGAGCTGTTCGATCATAATAATATATCATGGGGCAAGGGCAAGATCTGTACAATTGGTTTTTCCGTGTGTAGTTGTTTTTGGGTGTGTCCCGTTGTTGTCCAGATTTAGGTTTGTTTTCTTTGGCCTGCAGTTGGGGTAAAGTAGGACGTTTTGTTTGCACTGAGTAGTTTGGCCATGTTCGCTGCTGTTCAGCAGCACATGTTATTGAAGGCTTTACCTGGCTTCGCTGTAGATCGCATGAAACACCCCAAGATTCTTTGGCAAAACAACTTACCTTCCAATGGTCATTTCGAGATGCAGTTTTACGGCGGTCAATTGTTTGGGGTCTATGGTGATGTCATACGTTAAAAACCAAATGCAATTAGGTTTCGCTGGGGTCCAGGATGATGGTAGCGGCTACCTAGCGTTGGCAGAATTAATTATCGTGATTCGGCTGTTGGCATGCTGATTGCTTATGTTGATGCCAAGTGGCTCACCGAATCCCGTTGAGCAGGGCGCAGGCTGAAGACTCATGGCCATGCTGTTCATTGCTATTCTTATTGGGGTTGCTACGGCGGCCCCTTGGGATGATGACTGCATTGAACCTGTGTCTGACGTAAATGTAAACTTTCTGCTCCAGGTGGAAAAGCAGAGAAAATTTGCGAGAGGAGCAGAAGGACATTTGACAGGTTGCGGGCGGTTGATCAACGAAACATGCGATCCAACTGCCAACAACATCATAATTGCAAAGTGCATACTCATGGGCAGGATTGCTATCGGCCAGTTCCAGAGGTGATGGCCGAACATCCCGGAATGGATGGTTATTGCTATTTCAATCAAACTGGCTTTTGGGTGACTCCGTTACCTGACAAAGGTCAGGATTTTATCGAATATGCCAAGAAGGGCATACTTGGTCTAAGAACGATGGGTGACTACGGCGGGAAGGATCAAGGTCCGCTGATCACTTTCAATTTTGAGGGCCAGGTAATCACAAGCTACATGGACTTACCGCATTATTCCTATGATGACCTCTACGGATACTCTTTGGGCTTCTTGCAAGGGCAGGGCCTAGATACAGAGCTGATGAAGAACGCCAGCGGCTGGATAGCCATTTCGAGGCAGAAGTGTTTGGAAATCCAGACCAAGTACAACATCCAAAATGAAACCCAGCCCTTTTTTTGGAAATTGTTTTGTTCCTTTCAACTGTAGAAGGAGGTTTAGTATTCACACGTGCCATGCACCCACTCGTGCTAGACAGATGCTTCTCATTATTTTCCCTTTTCTGGTTGCATGTTTCTTTCGCCCAGGAAGAGTTGGTGCTGGCTGATTGGTTGGACGACAACATGGTCCTTTTGGCAAAGGTGATGTGCAGCGCAAACCTCACCGCTGTGCACATGCGTCCTGACATCAAAGAAAAAGCCAAATGGAGAAGCCTGACAGATTGCGAACCCATCACAGCCAGGGATTTTGCCAAGCACCATTACATCAAGTGCCTCCTTGGATACCCGAATTCGGCGTCAGATGGTGCATATCTCAACGCACACGCGTGTCTTCTAGGAAATCATATAGGGCACTTTACTGATTGCCCCTATTCACCAAATGTTCGCTTTTGAGTTTCAAGCAGCAGCAAAAGAGGCGCAGCGTTCTTCGTCTTCAGACTCCTCATGTGGTATTGGTTAACTGTGAGATTTTAGACTGGCCACGTGTACACAAGGATGGCATGCGCAGCAAGAACAGGGAAGTGTTTGCTGTCAGTTAAGCTAATTATATAGATCTATGATAGTATAGGGAATTAACATAGAATACCCTCTCCAACATACTATGGACGTGGAACATGGCCCCTTGGAAGACTGTTTTCCACCCAGGCCATGTCCGGGCTAGCACGGCGAAAGGCCAAGAGTGGTGAATCTGTCCCTTGCAATCAGGGTTTTGGGACGTACAGACCCTACTGAGAGCCTTGTTCTTGCAGCTGAAGGGTCAGCCTGGCTTTCGGCCATGTGAGGGAACACTGGTCTTTCGGGCCTCGGTCTTGATATGGACATGTCAGAAATAGTGACCCAACCCTGGCGGTCATTTCCCAAAAGGGTGCCATGACAGCTGAGTAACCTTTGGTTTCGCCATGTTTCGCCGTTTCGCTGGTGTGAGGCTCTTCCCGTGAGCGAGGCGGGGGAATCTCGGGTGGATGGATCGCCGGTAAGAAGCTGTGCCAAGAGTCACGAAGGAGTTGTTTTTTAGTCTCTAATTGAGTGGATAATGGGGCACCCCTATCCTCCAAGTTCGGCACCCCTTTGCGACTCCTGTTCGTTGCACGTATTTGATTCCCAGGTGGGTGTGGTAGTGCTGGTGCTGGTGCTGCTGCTGCTGCTGCGGCTGCTGCGGGGGAAAAGGAGCTACTCCGGGGTCTCCTGATGACAGGGTCGCACATCTGCACACCAAGGTGAAATTCTGAAAACACGGTGAAAAAGGGACAAGACATGACAAGACATGGATCATCATCAAAAGACCATCATGCTATGCCCATGCTATGCTTTGATGGGTCAGGCTGGGTTGCTGCTCATATTGTTTACTGTTGAACGCCCTCGAGACACCAGGCTTCGAACATCTACACAGCAACGCCATGGTGCCAGGCATGGTCCACTGGAGTCAGTAGATCGACGCATGTTGCGAGTGCAACAACAGTTTGAGTTGATGCTTCGGAGATTGGCAACGGCCTGGTTGACTTGCAACTTCAACATGAGCATCCATGAGCCTCATTTTGGACATCCCCTACAAGAAAGTCGCTGAACTTCAGGCAATAGAGGGGAATGATCACGCTGTGTTCTTGCCGGCCTCCTATGTCACCGCTCAGAAAATCTACAGGAGTGTTGTTGTGCTGTCATCCCAGCGACGGGAGTGCCTCGAAAAGGCCTATCATAGGCACCACTGGCAGAAAAGGCTGGTGAGCTTGGCTCCGCATTGTTCACCTCAACCAAGAAAGCGTTCATTGTGCAGTGCTTGAGTTTGGGAGGTCCCTTCATGAAGATGTGGTTAACTATTATGGAGGTCATCGTACAACACTTTGATCCGATTGCAGCTGCTGCTGTTTGATGTCCAGGACACCACTTGTCAGTGTAGGGTTGAGATGGATGGTTTATTATAGGGACACGATTAGAGCCAAACAGGCAAAGCAGGTGAGCATGAACCAGCAGAAGTATGACCTCCTAATTCAGGGGTGGGTTCAGCCCTTTTTCAAGAGGGGTTATGTGACAAGGGCTGGGATTTGAGTTTTGGGTGCAAGAGGACTAGAACACTATACAATACTATATAGTGTCATTGCGTGTATAAAACTTCCAAGGGGTCAACCTTTCACTAGAACCCACCGGACGGCTTCACGGAGAAAGCCCCTTCCCTTCCCTCGAGGCCTGGATGCAGATGCCAGCGAGGTCATGGATCCCCACTTGGTGCCTCGGGTCCGCGGACAAGATCGGGCGTCCGATGAGAACGCGTTCAGATGAGATGTTGCGTTCTCGCGAAACGCTGCGGACGTGGGGGATGGGGGAGGTGTTTCACCTCATGTGGGGGGCCTATGTCAACTTTGAACGAGTGATTTGCAATAGTTAAGTATACCAGCACCTTCCAACACGTGCCCAGAAACCAAGGTGCCCAGAAACCAAGAGGGGTCCAAAAAGCAGCTGGAGGGTCCGGGTCTATACTCATCCTATCTCATCCTCAAGGAGATACAATACTGGGCCTTTGCAAACACACTAAAGGTTCCTTTGGCACTTGCTGACACACACCACGTTTGGAATAGATGGGATAGCCCCATCTTTGAATTGGCTTCATATGCTGCTAGCTTTGGGGATCTGTGCCAGAAATCCAGAAGCTCTTCGACATCCGAGGCGGCAGTGATCGAGGCCAGCTACGCTGCTCAGACAGAGGCGTCGTTGGGGTTGGGGCTCAGACAGGTTGAAGTGACCATTCCTCGAGGGTCTCCGAACACCGAAAGTTCAGCGAACGCGAAGGCAGAATCCCGCCAGAAGATGCACTTTTGCTTTGGCAAAGCTTGGAAGCTATAACAGGCAGGATATGGGAAGGCGCATACTAAATCAACAAGACATACAACATCTGACAAGAATTTCACTGGAAGTGATGACGACTTGCCTTGTATAAAAACGTGACGAGAAGTTCCCAGTTCCTCATCTCACCACAGTTCGTTCGGCCCTTCACGCCAAGCCGGGTCGTGGGGATGGCATGCCCGGTGGGTGATGGGTGACTCGTCCAAAGCAATCCAACGGATAAGCTAAAGACTCGGCGAAGATGGCCATCAGCACGGTTTTTTCACCTTAATGATAGAGGTATATAGAGGTACTGTACCGAGCAAGACACTCCATGGGACTGGAATCTTCTGAACCTCTGAAATCAAACACCCCTCGCATGATTGGTAAATATGCAAATCCCATGGAGCGTTTGGCGCATGGGGGATTGTGTTCAACCTGCAAACCTGACAAAATTTGTGAAAAGTTCCCTCAACAGCTGTTTCGAAAGACAGAATTGGATGCGAAAAGCCGTTTATATTGGGCCAACCGTCGAATACGGTATACATACGAGCTGCACCCCTGGGACAACTGTTGTCCATGCATAATCATGCATATCAAAATCTGTAATGTAAACTATCGGAAGATACAGGACTTGTTGTCCTGGACAACTTATGAAGCACAGCTTTTTGGCAGTATGAACGTAATGTGAAGGCAAGGTGAACGTAAGTTGAAGGAAACTTGGAGAGGGTTTATGGACAGGGCCATGCACGTTCACTCAGCAAAAAGGACATAAACTTCCGCTCTGGGACATGAAAATACTAAAACTAGCCGCCGGGCTCGTAAAAACAAAAAGGCGAACAATATCATCATATGTAAAAAACAGCTTCACTACACTACACGCGCGGTTTTAAACCCATTGACTTAAACTATATGATATAGTCAAGGTTCATGAGTGGGAAAGGGGAACTTGGTGCGACCCATTTTACAACTGCCAAATCCTAGGTTTTAGAAGATGAGTTGATTCTGTTGGGTTTGACCATCCTGAGCTCCTTTAGGCAGGCCTCGAGGGCAAGATTTTCCATGGCCCTCGTTCGATCGACTCGGCCAGACCGCGCGCGCGGAAGAAGAGGAAGAGATGCTGCGACAGGCGGAGACGAAGAGACCTGTCCACCCCAGGGCATGTGAGCCTTTCGGAGCAAGCCAGGTAGGTGAACACCACCAGACTCCGTGAAATGAGGTCCTGGACCTGTGACAAGATGGCATCCACCTCCATGGATCTCCCTTCCACACAAAGGGAGTACAGTAAATATACTATATGAATTACTATATGGTGTTTGTTCACCATCGCATGAAGGTGCTTGTTCGGTATACCCTTCCAGAGTGGACCAACAAATTGAGCGCTCAGAACCCGATGTTCACCAGATTCACCAGCTTGCAACCTCCTAGCAGGAGATCAAGAGATGACTTTGCAGTGCCAGGATGAGCCAGGAATATCATGACACTGCCCAGATGGGCTAATTCTTTGGATGCCCAACTTTGGTCCAGACCTGAGCAACTGGCAATGTGGGCAAAACCGGCTCATCACTTTCCCCAGCGCTTTCGCTTATACAGTAAAGAACGAGCAGGTGCTGACAGCTCGCACTCTTTCTCCTTTGTCCGGAATGTTTACGTTGGGAATCTTCCCCGAGTTCTTTTTGTTTGGGGATCCGGGGATGCGTCACTATATGAAACTGTGAACAGCCTCCACAGCCTTTGACCTCCGATTCGGTCTTTTTTGAGCCCTAAAGGTGTCTTTGGGGGATCAGGGACGTCTCAGGCAGTACACAGCCGTATACCGACTGTCCAGGTCATACGGACGGCCATGGAACCAGTAACGGTCGACCGTGTTTTCGCTGCGTCGAGCCTCCGGAGGTCCTTCTTTACCGTCCGGTGTTTTGGTTTGACGCACGTCGTCTCCAAACCTAGTAACCTAGTAGCGTCCTTGTTACGAACGTGGCTTCTTGCTCCTAGTAGAGATGCCCGTTGCTCCTAGTAGTTCCCACCTACAAACGCGATGGCCTCCAACCTAGTAGCGTCCTTGTTACGAACGTAGCTTATAGTAGCTTGCGTCCTTTTCTGTCATCACTGCGGGAAGGCCATGGAGATCTCGCGAAAGGAAGAGGAGTCCCTGGGCAGCACTCGGATCCCGAGATCCGGGTGGTGACCGACTGACGAACGGACCCACTCCGGACCCACTCCATGGGACTGGAATGTTCGGCAGCTCGGTTTGAATGATTTGTTCGCTGTCGGTTCGCCAACCTCAAAACCCATGGAGCACCTACCATGATGTAAGGGATATATGTAGCCATATAATATTTAGATACTGAAGATGTCTCATTGAAATCTGCAAAGACTGGGATATATCAGTTGTTCCTCATGCAAACTGTGTTGTTGTTTGTTGCACCAACCCCCCCAAACATATACTGTATAGACATATTATTTGCAAAACTTGATCAACTTGGCCTCAAATAAAGATGATCTTAATTGAGATACATTCTGTTGTACGACTGTACGACGACGCAATATTGGAAGAGCACTTACTGTGCGTTGAGAGTGTCGAGACCTCGAATTGCATGAACGTCCTTAACAAACCTCTTCACGTTCCCAACCCCAACTTCCTGTCGTTTCACACCAAACCTGCCTCACCCGCTCACCCCTCTGCGGCTCGGCCAAAAAACGCCACACTACTGCTAGCTCTCCTGCTTCAGGCGGCGTCAGAACCAAGCCCTTCGCGAGCAGCAAGAGCAGGAATTGCAGGAGAGCCTTCAGAGCCTTCGACGAATCCGAGCTAATTGGCGAGTCGAAGTCACGAAACGAGCTCGTTTCATCGAGGAGTCTTTGCACGGCGTATGGAATTGATTTTGTCTGGCCGAAATGCGGGGATCAATCGATGGTGAACCGGTTTTACATTGTGTATGAGAATTCAGGTGCATGGTAGCGGAAAAGGTCTTCTCAAAGTATGTTCAAAGCGTGGATCCAATCTGTTTGCTGGAAGTGACTTTACTCAGTTTGGAGATCATCAAACATGATGAAACACTCCTTGCAAACATGATCAACATCTTGATTCAGACATATTCAGACTCTCCACCCCAGGCAGATCCAGGCAGCCAGCCATCCATCCATGAATCATTTTCTTTCCAGTCGTGAGACAGCACTGTGTTGTGGACTCGTGGACACGTCGACGTCAGAGCAGATCGACTCCCAGCACTGAGGATACTGAGTACGTAACAGAAAGGGTGCAGTCTGGTCTCCACTTCTTGCAGTTTGGTGGGTTTCATGTCCGCCGTTTGCCACGATGTAGGAGAGTATCTTAATGGACCAGATGCGAGAGCAGGAGGAGAAGCGAAGGCCGCCCGTCGGCTGGTCGAACTGCATGGTGTCGTACGACACTGCTTCGCACAGAGACCCATCATCCCCGAAGGACCGCAGTCCCTGCATTCATTTGTGGATGGGCCTGGGTCGTTCAGCCTATAGAGCCCCTGGGTCGTTCGCATGCGAGTGGAACTCCCTCCGGCGTGGGCGCTTTGTCGTGCCCGGTGGGTCTCGGCCACCGGTGCTCCGGCTTCGGCCATGGTAGGCGTGTGGAAGAAGAGGAACAGCGCAGGGCAGTCGAGGTGCGAATCCGGCGTTGGCAGCAGGTTTCTGAGGAGAGGAGAGGACCATGCTGGAGTCATTTGATCTAAACACCACCTCCAATATATGCATGAAATAATCAGATGACTCTGAATATATTATATCTTGTGTGTGTTTTTGTAATTTGTGTTCTTATTATGATGTTCTTGATGCTCATTCATTTTTGGGCTATAGTGAGAGAGATGTGCACCTTCTAACCTCGTGCTACCCATAGCTTGGCACAGAGTGTGAACTTGATAAGTTTCAGGGCCAGGATCGAGCGGGATAGCAAGTTTTTGGGGCCAGTTTTGGGGCAACAACCCTGCTTGGGGCCAACAATCAATTGCGGTGTGCGAACAGAGATCCAGTATTTTTGTTTGAGGTAAGAGATCTTCAATGGGGACAATTCCACAACTCTGTTCAAGTTGGAACTGCTTGGTCTAAGCTTTCGACCGAAAAAGAAGAGCATGCACAAATCGTACAGCTGCAGCCTGCTGTTGGTAGTGCATCAATAGTGCATCAATGTATCAGAAAAAAACAATCTATATCTCACAAATGCAAGGCGCCATGTTCCTACGAGGAAAAATACACTTTTCACTTTCCTCTTCTTTGATTGGTGTAGGGAAGCCAACGAAACAAGCCAGGAAGCCAATGAAACCATTGTCGCTGATGAAATCCCGGTGACAATTGCCATGAACATGCATCATCCCAGCATGTTCAAGACCCAAGCATCATCCTAGCTGCTTAGATCTGCTTTGCTTGTGAAGCTACATCTCTTCAAACATAATATATATCCCTTTCCTTGAGGACCAACCAGGGTCATTCCATTGCGTGTTCCGTTTTGCTCCAAACCAAACCGGAAAGGCCTCCCAGCAAGCGGAGCTCCAACGGCAAGAAGAGGAGGCCGCGGGTTCCGCTCGGCCATCCCGCGTCCATCCCGACGGAGCGAATGGCCACAAACGGACAACAACAACCAAGACCGCACAGGTGTTTTGCATTGACAACAGTACTATCATGATCTATCATATACCATATATACATACCAGGACCTTCCAACATTTGTTGCTAAGGACAGTACCTTCGCGATTGACCAATCTTGGATTGTCCGAGTAAATGCAAACCTGTGCTGAATGGTTTTCGGGATGGGATTGCCATGAATGGCCTTGTTGTGATAGCGGTCTATGTTCAAGGCTGTCCCACAGCTGCAACAATCATTTCATGGAAGGGTGTCGAACTATGAATTGTTCTTCATATTCTGAACATTTCTGAACTGGGTGATAATCAAGTTTAAGGTGTGGACTAGCCCCGTACATATCAACCCAGTTTTGGTTTGCATTCACCAACTCCGACAAGTCACATGACAAGAGGTCTTTGGAAGCCAAGAGAAAGGTTGATGCACACCGGAAGAGTCCAAAATGCTATGGGCCGTTTCAAGCGTTTGGGGCGTTTCGTTTCGGCGTTGAAGCCACCGGGATCCTCTCCCGACCTACACCCGATGTTTCTCGCAGTCCACATTGAGACCCTGAAAACTGATCATTGGACCGTTGTTTTCAGTGGAAGGGGTAGGGAAGAAAGAATTTAGTTGGTACTTGACAAGGGTGTCAGTTGTTTAAATATGGAGACCTTCCAGGGGGGACCCTGGAAGAGGGAATATCGACTATATAAAACATACTAACATTATCTAAAATTATAACCCATTGGTTGGGGGTCTCCCTATAAAAATACACACCCAATCGCGTAGAGTTTGTTGGACCATCAATCTATATTTACATATTTACACACCCACTTCTGGTGTTTGGAGTGCAAAGCTTGACCATTAAACGACCCAAGGACAACCTGGGAACCTCTCAATTTGGCAAGCCAGGGACCAGGAAAGCGTAGAATATGTATTGAGGCAAAATTGATCAAAATTGTTAGCTTTGTATCTCACCCAACAGACAAACCAGTTTGAATCTCTATGCGTATAATTGATAGGCACCCCAAGTGAGAAGATGTACAACTAAACGAGGATTTGGGATCATGTTGGCAAAAGGTTTGTTTGAGGAATATTCGAAGGATTTTAAGATATTTCAATTGTATCGGTTTGTTTGATCATTTCCACAACCATATGAATGAAGAAACGACTCATTTGTGATGTGATTGATGATCGTTTCTTCCCAGAGGCTCATGGACCCTCAAACTGCCGCATGTGTGAAGCTATGAGGGTCCGATGAGCCTCTGGGTTTTTGAACATTTCTTGAGAGAGAGATGTCCATGAGACCACATATGTGCAGTCAGTCTACTACTGAGCTGAGTGTCGATGAAACTTTTCATCTCACAATTCGTCTGAAGATGTTTCAACAGATCCCCCCAAATCCCTCTTTAGGACCAACGAGTCTGAAAAAAGACCACATTAGATCCTTCTCTGACCAAGACGACGCACTGACCTAAGTGTTGGCGCCTCTCAGGAGCGCCAACGCTTAGAGATGCACTCCGCGAAGCTGGCGAACGTGCCACCCGAGCCGCCTGCTGACGCGCCCGCGGGCCAAGAGGGAAGGTAACATCCGGGTTGCCATGCTGCGCCTGTTGCGTGGTGTGTGTGTGTGTGTGTTCGTTCGATGCGATGAGTTGGTGAAGTTCCAATGAAACTGATAGTTTCCTATCGAGTATATATATATATAAACTACTTGATGGGTTTGTTTCGAGGCTTTTCAAGACAAGTGACAAGTGGTTTGTGATTTGTTGGAGTTTGTTGTTTTCAATGTTTTTCCTTGGAAAGACCAGCAGGTGGGTTATGGTCCTGGTAGGTGAAGAGTCTTGGTGTGGTCTTGAAAAAGGTCGGCAGCCAGGACCACGAATGGCATGAGATTGATCTCGAAGAACAATGCAATAGCGCACCGATAAACGCGTGTCTCTATAAACGCGGAACCGCGCCGATACACTGATACACACCGAACCGCACCTATACACCAAGGGTTTGGGATGGTTTAGGCTAGGCTTCAGGCTCCGGTTTAGGCTATGAACTGGCATTTTGTCGTAGTTGCGTGCTTCCCCTCACGTTCAGGGTCTATCGAAGGATTCTTGAGAATCCCACAGTACCACCGGTGCAAACTGGAGGGCGTGGACATCAAAGATGAGTTTCCTTATCTCTGACCAGCTTGCAAGTCTTGCGGCACATCGTGCACAGCTGTAGCAGTGCAGCGCATGCGCCCGGATGAGTTTCCTTAAAAAACTCTCCTTGGTTTTGGAAGGAGATTCACTTGAAACGTCGACGTGTCCTCGACATCCATCCAAGGCGTCCTTGACATCCATCCACTGTTACCATGGTCATTCATGGTCCTACCACTCGAAAGGCCACATGATGCTCTGGCAAGGTCGGATTGCGCTTCAAAAAGTCTGATTTCTGGTCACCATTGGGGTCCGGCAACTCCAAACCCTGAAGCAGGTTCGGATTTCTGGTTGTTCTCCTCCATGTTTGGAGGCCCAAGCCAGTGTTTCGCGACTCCCAATATCCGTGCTTCGCGAAGAAGACGACCCAGCTTCAATCTGAAATCCACTCAGAAAGCACTTAAACTTAAGCTTCTGGGCTGAAGAACGTTTTAAATCACAGAGACACTCTCAATGGCCCCTTCATCACCCTTCCACCTCCGTTCGCTGTCCCTGCGCCCATTTTTAACGCTCTCCCAAAGCCACTCCCCCGATCTTCCTCCCCAAGTATGCAAAAGCCTCTATAAAGCCTCTAGGAGCAAGGACGCTGGGGGCTCCTGGCATCGCTACTAGGAACAAGAACGCTACTAGGAGCAAAGGGCATCGCTACTAGGAGCAAGAACGCTACTAGTAGCTCCTGGCCTTAC